ATAGAAAAAAAACAGATCCATAGTAAGCTAGTTGTGTTGTCTGATCCATGGATTAGTCAGAGTTCTCTGCTACAGTGGGCTCTCTGGGGAATAGTGATTATCTCCCAGGCTTCCCTGGGAAGTGTCAGCATGGACCACACACTAAAGGCAGAAGTAGATCCCTGGAGATGCTCTGGGCTCCACTTCTCTCCCTGTGGTTAAATATGGGGTCCTGAAAGCTTCCACTAATACTATCTTGGTTTCCTTGCATCTTTGGTACTACTTTTTTATAAACTGTTTCTGATTGTTTTTATAGTACCAGTTGAACACAATGTGGTATTCAACCCCATTCCTTCCCACCACCACCCTCTAAACAAAAAGCACAAATGGAAAATTTTTAAATTGTAGAGGGGTAACTTTTAAATGTCCGAAATCTTAATTATTCTTGTAGCTTTTCATGATGTTTGTTCTCCAACGCAAGCTGCAAAATAAATAAATAAAATTTAAAATCATGAATCCACTTGACTTTTGCTAATAGATCTTTCGGATGAGATCTTTGCTTGATGTCTGTATATTTCTTTAGCTTCTCCTTGAGAAACAGAGCTTACCCTAAACTAAGTCCCAGTTAAATGCTTTTGTTTGTTGTTTGTTTAGTTAGTTAGATAGTTTTTGACAATTGTCTAACAAGAATCCTAACATAGTGCTTGGGCTTTAGACAGACCTGGTTGTCTCAACTCTTTTACTAGCTACATGACTTTGATGAAGTTACTTAATCTCTTTGAGTTTTTTTTTTTTTTTTTCATTTCCTCATCTATGAGATTATTGTGAGAACTGAGTGAGACCATGTGTGAATGGTAACTGAACTGATGTATATACAGTGCCTGGCAAAGACATATGCATGGTGGTAGATCATAACATGGGTTTCTTTGTCGATTTGAGTTAGAACTCAACCCTTAAGTCATCTGGGATGACTGAGGGCAAACATCAACCTTTGAAGTAATGGCTGGACAGAATCACTACTAACTGTATTTTGCACATTTCTAAAAATAAAGGTAATATCAACTTTCATTGTTTGTTAGCACATTAAATCATTTTCTTACTTCACTAACCTAGCTTAAATTTAAAATCATGAGGGGCTGGAGTTGTGGCTCAGTGATAGAGCACTTGCCTAGCACGTATCAGGCACTGGGTTCAATCATTAGCACCACATAAAAATAAATAAATAAAACTTAAAATCATGAATCCACTTGACTTTTGCTAATACTTTTTTAAAAAATATATTTATTTTTTTAGTTGTAGTTGGACACAATATCTTCATTTTATTTATTCATTTTTATGTGGTGCTGAGGATCGAACTCAGGGCTGCACACGTGCAAGGCGAGTGCTGTACCGCTGAGCCACAATCCGAGCCCCTGATACTTTTTTTAACTTGACCAATGGAGCCAGATATCTTCACATATATTCCAAATGTGGCCACGTACTGTCTTCATCAGTGGTTATCAAGAGGAATTAAATGGGGCACAGGCAAACTAACCAGTGGGAACATGAAGAAATCCCACATCCCATGCTTTGTCCTGCTTCAGAGCTGCTTTGTAGCCGACGACAGAGTATGTCTCCACCTCCTTTTATGGTCTTCTTCTATGAGTGGAAAACTGTAATGTTTAGATAATTATTTATAAGCTATTTTGAGATAAAAATATGCAGTGGTGCCAACATGGAATGCAACAGTAGTCATTTCTGTGGAAGAGCTTCATGTTGACTGGGGACATCAAGCCCTGTTCAGTTCTGTGTTTACCCAGTGCATTCTACTCCAAGTCTTGCTGCAAAGCTTGGGAAAAGAACATGAAGTATAGACTTAATAGCACCTGTCCTGGCCTCACCCTATGAGCTCATTGACAGTCACCTAGGATGCTCATTGTTTAGAAGGGTCAAATCTTTAATATCAAAAGGAAAAAGAACCTCTCAAGGTAAAAGATAATGAAGAAAACATACCTAGAGCAGTCAAATATAAGGGCAGTTCATTTTAGAGCTTTCTACTGCTTTTCCATTGTTTATTTCTGTTTTTCCCCCAGTAAAAATGCTTCCTTTTCCTGCAGGGTATGGTGGCAGACACTTGTATTCCCAACTACTTAGGAGGCTGAGACAGGAAAATCACTTGTTCCCAGAAGTCCAAGGTTAGCCTAGGCAACATAACAAGACCTGACTTAAAAGAAAACAAAAAGAAAGAATTTCCTTTTCCTGTCTGGAGCTGGCTGTGAAGCCTTGCATAGGCTCTTGGTGTCTCTGGGCTTTTTTTTCCCCTTACCCCACTTCCACAAAGGTTTTGGAGATTGAACCCAGGGCCTCACCACTAAACTACACCCCAGCCCCCGGTCTTGTTTTCTCATCTGTGAAATGAAGATGGAGCTCCTTTCCTTCTTTTCTATGGTTCTGTGCTTACACATATCCAAAGGTCTTAGAATCTCAGTAACTGCTGACCTGAAGAAACATTAGGACAGAACAGAGTCCTTTGAGCTTCCCAGGGCTGGGGAATCATCCACATACAATAGGATTCTTTTAAACAAGTTCTCTCGGTATTGAATTTTTCCTTTCCCCAAGAGCTCTATAAAAATAGTGTTTTCTTGCCAGAGACATCAAGGCTCAGAACTACTGGCCTCCTCCTGTGAACAGTCTATGGTTTGTTTTTGGCTTGGGATCTTTTTAACAGACAGTCCAGCTCCACTGAGAGGCTGACTCAGCAGGACTTCTCCAGCACGTTCCTGCTCTTGTCAGGATCCCAGTGCCTGGTCCCTGCCAGCTGGGGCAGGCTGGGAACCAATGATACCCTATCCCCCCCCCCACCCTGTGTGTCCTAAGGGGAAAGAGACCCTGCAGTGGTGCTTCTGTTTTCCAGACATGACTCCTAATTCTCCTTAGGGTGTCAGAACTTGAGCTCATTTTTGTTCATGGCCAAAGACTATCTTTCTCATGATACTCATCTCCCCAAAACCTGTCAACCACATAGTCCCCGAGGCTCTTTCCTTCCTTGTTCCGCATATCACTGACTTATCCTCTGATCTGCCTTTAGTGTTTGCCAGAGATCCTCTTTCCCTTTATTGAAATCCCATCATAATCCCAAAGGCTTTAGGAATGTAAGATTCTATATGCACACCTTTAAAATGTTTTTATTGTGGAAAATTTCAGATGTATTCAAAAGTAAAGAAAACAATATAATGAACCCCGTGTACCTGTCACCCAGCTTCACTAATCATGTTTCATCTGCACCTGCAGCCCCCTCCCCTGGCCCCAGATTGCTTTGTGTGTTTTATTTTTATTTAGTTTTTAGGACATGGATATCTTTGAGGGCCATTGTTCAGCTAGCCATGGCATGTGGTGGAGGAGCCAGAGAACAGAGTCCTCAATCAAGTGGTTTTTATCTTTGTGATCTAGGACCATGTTAGTTCAACAACAACCAGAACTGAGTTTGAGTCCCCTAGGCCAGTCTTTTGAATGGGCTGCACCCAAGGGTCAGGTGGGTGGGGCAGCCATTGGAGGGAGAAAAAGAAGCATTATGTCAAGAAATGTCAGGCAAAATTCCTAAATTTTATCAGGGCATGGTGACATATGCCTGTAATCCAGCAACCTGGGAGACTGAAGCAGGAGAATCATAAATTCAATCATAAATTAAAATCATAAATTTTACTAATTTGGCAACTTAGTAAGACCCTCTCTCAAAATAAAAAAGAAAAAATGCTGAGGCTGTAACTCAGTGGCAAAGTGTCCCTGGTTTAAATCCGTACCACCCCAGCCCCCCACACACACACAGTAAAAAAATTCCTAAATTTTTAAAATAAGCTTATACCATACACCATCCCTTTCTTCCTATTACCCAAGATATGGTTAAGAGGAAATTAACTTTTTTGGAAGGCGGTCACATTCAGTTACTAGACTTGTCTCACCCTGAGGAGGTGAGGGAGGTTGAGCTGATTTTGGAGGAGACTCCTCCAGTGCTTGACAATCGGATGACACAACGATAGTGAATGTGAAATGTCCGCTGAATACCTTGACTGTTGAACCATTGTTAGGTGGCCTTTGCAACAAAAGACACACTGATGTTAGGCTGCAGAGGGTCTGGGAAGCCTAAAATGGTACAGGTGGTTCCAGAGCCAGAGGATGTGGCCTGAGTCTGCAGATTGGACTGGAATAGGGACACAATAACCTGAAGAAATATAATCAGAGGTGAGGCACTGTAATAGTCAGCTTTTCATTGCTGTATCAGAATACCTGAGAAAATCAATTTAAAGGAGGGAAGATTTATTTTGGCTCCTGGTTTCAGTTCATGACTGACCAGCTCCATTGTTTCTGGGCCTGTGTGAGGCACAACATCATGGTACAAGCAGCTGGTGGAGCAAAGCTGCTCACCTCATTGTGGCCAGGAAGCAAAGAGAGAGCAACCCCAGGTTATTTTGAAGTAAATATCACATGTTGTAGCAACTTTAGTGTTCTTTTTAAAGAATCCCAAACTCCTCCCAATTTACTCATGGGAAAGGTATAAGTTAATCCTCTTTCAGATTTGACTGCATTAGCCCTGCCACCTATGATACCTCATGCCACATCTACTTGGAAGTAGATGTCTCTCCCCTTTTTTCCCACAGTCCTGATTGGTGGAACAGTTGACAGAGAACAGGTTACTGTGTCCCTGTTCCAGTCCAATCGGCTCTCCTAATGAGGTTCCTCTTACAAGATAGCAATTTAGATGGGAAAGGAAGGCTATTTGAAGCATTCTGGGGACCACTAGAAGAAAAGTGCCTGAGTCCCATTTCCCTGTCAAGGATAAGGTGGACCTGCTTGTCTTTACTCATGATTAGTATCTATGTTATAGACTGAGAAAAAAATTCCCCAAGACAAAGGGGGCTAATTCCTGTAATAATAATGACCGAATTTCCACTCTGTCTCTTCCTTTTCCTGTTAACAAGTAACACTCTTTTTTTTTTTCCTCTCTGAAGGGTCTAAAGCCTGGTCTTGTCCTGTCTCTATTTCAGATGCAGTGGCAGAATGTGGAACATGTTGGTGACCAGAGCCCCTATGTCACTTCTGTCATTCTTCACATTAAGCAGAATGTCCCCATCATCCGTGACAACCTGGCTTCCACACGGAAATACTTCACTCAATTCTGCATCAAATTTGCAAAGTAAGTCCTGGAGCATTCTCATCACTGAGTTGTTCTTATTGTTTTGCTTTGTTTTTTTTATTTTTTAAATAAAATTTTAAATCGACTTTACATTTCAGAGCAGTTTTAGGTTCATAGCACAATTGAGCAGATTTCCCATGTACCCCTTGGCCCACACGCATACTGTCCTCCAATATCAACATCCCCTCAGAGGGATACATTTGCTGGGGTTGATGAACCTACACTGATGCATTATCACCCAAAATATATGGTTTCCTTGGGTTCATTCTTGGTGTTTGTACTGTCTATGGGTCTGGACAGATATCTGATGATGTGTACCCACTGCTATAGTATGATACTCAATGGGGTTCTTTTAGTGCCATACAAACCCAACATGCTCACAGTCCTGGTGTCCCTACCATCCAACTGTAATTCGTTCTGGTACCTGCAGGCAAATTGATATCAATCTGTACCCACAGGGATCATAATAATAAAACCAAGTCTGCTACTTAAGTTTATATATACAGTAGCAGTAATACAATCATCAGCCACATCAAGGCAAACAAAAATGAGTTGGGAGACCCTGTTATTTTGAACTGTGTGGACATAACCACCCCTTGCCCAAGTGGAGATAATTAAACTTAGTCTCAGTGATCACATGTGCTTTTTGTCTCTCTCATATAAACTTTTTTAAGGGTAGGAACTACCAATTCTGTTTCTTTTGAGCCTTCTCTTTCTTCTCCCCCATAGTATTTATTACTGTAGCTGCTAAGACTTATCCACTTTTGGATGTCCTTGTGTCCAAGGAAGGTACTAGAAATTGGGAAGAGCAAGTCAGGGAACTCCATAGCCAAGGTAGATGGAATGAACAGTAAGCTACATGTGTTCCTGTCACATCCCTGTGTGTGGCCATTTCTGGCTTGAGTTTTGAAGCAAGAAAATAATTTGGTCCTTTGCCAATCAGCATCTGGCTGTAGCACTGTCTTCTGTGAGACCAGGCAGTGTACAGGGCCAGTGTCTCCTCTGACCAAATATCAAACAAACATTCTGGCAAACTTCTCAGGGAAGGGCTTCAGAAAGGTCAGCCCTGTCCAAGCTACTGTATTTGGATTGTTCTCATCTAGGTCCCAACTGGTGGTTCAGGACTCCAAGTTTATGTCTTCCCCAGATCTCTCCCAGTGTGTATTCAATTAAGGCTTTCCCTCTCTGACACAAATAAATCCCTAAGGAGCAACAATAATGGAGTGGCTTGTAGAGTTAACTTTAATTTCTACCTTGTCAAGAAAGGATCGAGTGGACTCTCCAGGGAAGCATTAATGTTTGCAGTATGGCAGGTGAACTAGGAGTTGACGTTCCCTTCACTCTCTGGATGCTCATTAATGTGCATTAAAAGTATTGCTGATTTATCACATTGTGACACTCCCCATAAGTACTGGTAGAAGTTTCTCTGTAAAAATTTACTGCAACTAGAAATCTCCTTCATGGTCACCCAGAGGTCTGATTGAGCTTACATTAGATGAATAAGGAGTCAGTTGCTTAGCTAGCCCAAGCAGAGGCCTCACATTCTCTCAAAGCCCTCAGAGCCCTTTAGTGTTATTACTAAGCTCATATTGAGTGAACTGGGAATAGGATGCCCATCTCACACATCTGGAAAAGCTCAGCCTGTGATCTAGGCTATATTTCTATTTTAATCCATGGTACCTTCCATTCTGGTAAACCCTAACCTTACTGTAGAAACCTCAGTTTTAGGATTGTGAAGGGACCTTTCCCCAGCCAAAGGCAATAGCCACCATCATCTGTATGGCATGGAGAAGCAGTTAAACTTGGAGTCCTGAACCACCAGTTGGGACCTAGATGAGAACAATACAAATACAATTACCCATCACATTGCTGGGACCTCTTCCCCAAAGACATGTGTTGAGTCCCTGTTTCCCTAGTCCAAGCCCTGTAGACTAGTGCTTAGAGCCAGTTCAAGGACACAGCCACAACTTACTCTAGTGGGAAGTAACAAGTTATACACTGTATATACAGTTGTGATTAGTCATGAATTCAACCTCATGTTGCTTGTTTGGCTCTGGTTTACAGCACTTCCAATTCCTTCTAAATAGTTCCTGTGCATACCCATCCTGACCTGTTAGGCCTTTCCCCAGGTCCGACCCCTGGACTTCAAATTTCTTTCCCCTAACTCCCTTTGCTACCCACCAACGCGAAACCATCAGTAGATCCTTTGTCTCCATTTGGTATCTATAGGGACAGTCTTTCCTGTTTAGACATCATAGTCACTCCCTGGTTGAAACCACAGTTTGAATCACAGGTGACTTTCCTCCTCCTAAGCTGATTCTCCTCTATTCAGGACTGGAGATAAAAAGACAAATCTCTTTTTAAAAATTTTTTACTTGTTATTTTTAGTTAAACATGACAATAGAATGTATTTTGACATATTATACATACAGGAGTATAACTTCCCATTCTTGTGAAGACAAATCTTTTAATAGTGGTTGGGTACAGTTTTGATCAGTCATGAATTCAACCTCACATTAACTTGTTTGACTCTAGTTTATAAGACTTCCAGTCCCTCCCAAATAGTCCCCAGTAAACTTCCTGGCAAAGTGCTGGTACCGAGCTGACATTCAAAAAGTGGTCGCTGCTGGGCTGGGATTGTGGCTCAGCGGTAGAGCGCTTGCCTAGTGTAGCCGGGACCCGGGTTCGATCCTCAGCACCACATAAAAATAAAAGCCTTGAGTTGTGTCCATCTACACCTAAAAAAAAATAATAATAATAGTCACTGCTACCGTTATTAAAACATTTATTATTTATTCAATGTGCATTTACTTGAGCATTTCCTTTGTCCTAGATACTGGGTTAAGTGATCTGACTTAACAGATACTACCCCTGCCTCCACTTGCCTTAACAGTCAAGGGAATAGACATAAACAAATAAGTGTAATAAAGTAGGTAAGATATTAGAGGCCTGAGGACTCTTGAGAATATGGTGGAGGTGACTGAGAAAAGGCTCCATAGAAGAGACATCCTTGAGCAAGGTCAGAGGGTCGTGTGAGTGCTGACCCCAAGGCTCACAAAGAGCATTCCAGGCAGAGGGGACAGTGTAAGCAAAGGCACAAAGGTATTAGCAGCCCACAGAATTGTAGGATCTGCAAATAGCTCAACCAGGTTGAAGTATGAGGTGCCAGGGTTCAGCATGATGTGGCTGGGGACAGAAAATCCAGAATCAAGGTTGTGACCAGGCACTATAGTAGTGCCTATAGTCCCAGCTACTCAAGGCATTGAGGCAAGAGGATCAATTAAGCCTAGGAATTGGTGTCTGGCCTAGGCAACATGGAAAGACCCTGTCTCAAAAAAAAAAACCTGAATCAAGGAATGTCTTGTTTGCAGCCATTGTAAGAGTTTTGGTAACAGGTGACTTAAAAAGATGAGGATGAAGGCAGGGAGACCAGGTGGGAAATAATTGGAAGAGCTCGGGACTCAGGAGGTTGAGGTAGGAAGGTGGCAAGTTTGAGGCCAGCCTCAGCAACTTAGTGAGACTCTGTCTCAAAATAAAAAGTAAAATAATAATAATAATAATAAAGTCTGGGGACATAACTCAGAGGTAAAGTTCCCCTGGGTTCAATCCCCAGCACCAAAAAAGAAAGAAAAAGAAGGAATGAAAGAAGGAAGGAAGGATGGAAGGAAGGGCTCCGTTGCTCAGATGACAGGACAGTTGGGGAGGAGATCAATAGGGGTGAATCTGGGAGTTCAGGGGAAGAATTGGTAACTGATTGGATGTTGGGGTTGAGGTGGGAAATAGTTTGGGGAACTCTCAGTTCCTGACTTGGCAACCAGGTGGAGTCGCCAACTCATTGCAGTCACTGAGCCTGGAGGCCAGTGTGAGGCTAGTCTGGAGGAGGTTAGTCATCGCATTAAGATGTCCAGGAAGTCATTACTGTTAGAGTGAGTACAGTGTAAGGAAAAGATGCAGAGAGACTGAAGACAAAGGAGGGCTCAGGCCTGGGAGCAGCTTTGGAAGAGTGAGAAGATAGGTACTAGCCAGCCTTTATCTTTACCTACAAATCCTGCTTTATTTCCAGCCTTCCTTTTGTGGTCCAGAGTCCTATGACACTTCCTGGTCACCTCACTTTGGATCTTGTCTTGATTATAGGCATGTATATTCTACTCTTAAATCTATTAGGTATACCTGGCCTGGGATTCTGGGAAAACTACATTGGTGGATATTTTGTTTTTTGTTTTTGTTTGTTTTGTGCGTGTGTGTGTGTGTGTGTGTGTTTCTGGGGGTGGAACCCAGGTCCTTGCACATGCTGGCAAGCACTTTACCAGTGAGTTACATTCTAGCCCTCATATATGTTCCATTCTTAAATCTGTTAGGGTGTTTATATCTACTAGTTACAGAAGCCCTAATTCAAACTGGTTTAAATGGTAGGTGAGTTTTTTATTTCATTTAACTACAAGTCCTGAGATAGGACAGATCTGAGAGGTGGTTTATTCTGCTATCTTTGGATCTGGCATCATCTTCAGAATGGTGGTAGACTGGAAGCTATAGACATCACATCCAAATGCAACAGTGCCCCCCCCCCACCTTGCAGTAAAGTTCTTCCCCCTCCCAGGACACATAGCAATCACCAAGAGAATGCCATGCTCTGACTGGCTGAGGCTAATTAGAATCCTCCGTAGGAGGATTTATAGGGTATAGCTTAGTAGTTTTCAGCATATACGTGGACCTGGATTTCATCCCCAGCACCACACACATAGACACAAAAATCACCAATATAGTTTAAGATCAAGTTTTTCTAGACCCTAAATAAAACCAGGATCTAGGTGAGAAATAAAAGGAAGGCAGGGGATGCTGATAGGTAGCAATAGTATCTACCTTGATTCTCAGTTTTCTTATGGAAGGGTAAAGCCTTTGAAGAAAGTTTCTGCATTTCTTTACTGGAGAGAGCATATGCCTAATTTATCACTTCTTTTTTTTTTTTCCACAGCTCCTTCATTCCCAAATTCATCACCCACCTCTTCAAGTGCAAGCCAATTAGCATGGTGGGAGCAGAACAGGTGAGGTGAACTTTATATTGGACTGTTGCCTTAGAGCTTTTGTCATGGATCCAGTACATATCTTAGGACAGATCTACTCTGGAGAAATAAAATGACTGAAAGTGTTTTTGGAGTGTGAAAGGGTCATGGCTCTAGATTAAATAGTCAGAGAAGGTTTCTACAAGGACTGATGCTTGAGAAAACACTTCAAGCAGAGGGAGAAGCAAGGCCTCTGATTGGTTTGAACCCACAGTGACTGGACTAAGACCCTTATGAGAGAGAGGCTTATCTATTCGATACTGAGCAACTCGGATCACCTCCCCTAAGAATCTTCATGATTAGCTTCCCCCTGCTTGCTTGAATTTTATACAAACTAAGGCTCCTCTTAGTTTGTCCCCTTGGCACTGATGGATTGGCTTATGTGCTACAGCACAGCTACCTCTTTTCAGCTGCTACCTAGTCAGACCATCTGAAATAGGCAATTTGAGTTCAATAAGCAGTTTAAGCTGCTTTTAAAAGAAAAACCAAAAAATCAGAAAGAGCTGGGGATGGGCTAGGGATATGGTTCAATCGTAGAGGCATATGAGTGGCCGTAGGCTCCTCCCCAGCACCACAAAGGGTGGTAAAGCATTCCTGGGTTTAATCTCCAACACTACAAAAAGAAATGAAAAGAAAAACAATAATATTCGTATTCAATCCGTACTTTGTTTGGGGGTTTGGTTTTGTTTTGTTTTGTTTTTTGGTACTGAAGATCAGACTCAGAGGTGCTTTACTCCTGAGCTACATCCCTAGCTCTTTTTATTTTTTATTTCAAAATGGGGTCTTGCTAAATTGCTGAGGCTGACCTCGAACTTGAGATCCTCCTGCTTCAGACTCCTGAGTCGATTATGGGTGTGTTCCACTGTGCCTGGCTTCTACCCATAATTCTTTCAAAATACCACTTAAATGCAAAGTATGCGTGTGCTAATCAAAAATGATTCACATATTCAATAAAATAAATCCTCTCTAGACATTTTATCTGTAAACTCTTAAGAAAACATGTAAGAAGACTGTATAATTCGAGATACTTTCGTAAACCCTGTCCTTCCACCAAATTCGTCAAGAGTGGCAGAGGATCCATCTCTCACAGCTCACTGCTGTGTTGGTCCCAGTCATGCCTCTCAGTTAGAGGGCAGATTAACATGTGCCATTGGGCATTGTGTTCTCTCATGAGATTCAAAGCCAGGTATAAGATCTGTGTATGACAAGATCTCTTGAATCAAATTTAAGTGCGGAGTGAGCTAGCATCAGTCCAGGTTATAAAGTGGCAATATGGTATGAGCATTCATGTTGGTAGCACTAGAATCACAAAGGTCAGAAGCTGAAACTTGTTTCTGCAACACAGCAACCATTAGTCCTTAGGCAGATATTTAACCTGGCATCACTTCACTTTCCTCAACTATAAAATAGATGTAACCAGTGCCACCTGTTATGAGGATTCACCAACGCGATGCACATGGCGTGCTTGGGACCAGTTCTGGCACATGGTCAGGCCACACTAAATGCCAGCTCTTAGTGAGGTTAAGCTTCCTCAGACCAGGGACATGACCTTGTCTCTGTTTTCATTGCCCATCTTCCCTAATAACTCTTCCACATGCAGCCTATGTAAAAATATTCATTGCTTGCCACAGGCACTCTGTCTGACCAGCTTTAGCCAGAGTCAAAAGTGTTGTCTCAGAAAGCTTCCTGGGAGGTTGTGCAGATTCAGACACTGGCTGGGCCTGACTGCAGCAGTTCAGCACTCTGAAATTCTTGACCCCTACATGTCTTAAGCACAGAGCTCATTCTCTCTGTTAGAAGCAGCAAGCAGCAGGATGATGCCCTGACATGCTGTCTGCAGTTTCTTCTTCTTTTTTTTTTTTTTATACTTAAGTCATTTTTTAAATTTTTGTTTTAATTTCTTGATTTAAACTATATTTGTTTATTTTTTATTTGTTTTAATTAGTTACACATGACAGTACAATATTCAAATGTATGATATGTCAAGGTCATTATACTGTCATGTCTGCAGTTTCATTAGCATGTGTTTACCAGCAGTTCATTCTCTTCACCTCGTCATTGTATGTGATCAGAGAGGATACAGAGTGATTAAGATCTGTGTGTCTGGGAGAAGCTGTATAGAGTTCTGGGTGACTGTGTTTCTGTCTACAGACTTGGTGAAGCCCCTAGACACAGAACTGATCAAAGGAAAGGTGTTCTCCTGAGTTTATAGCTTTGCTCAGGCCTTGCAGCTGGATTAATGTCTCATAACCATGATGTTTTCACATTATCACATAAATTCAATATTGTATCAATTTTTCTTAGACTTTCTCTTCTTTAAAAGAATATTAGAATAATCAACTCAGATCCAAAGCTAGTGTCTACAGAAAAGTATCATTTTGGCCAGTGTTTACTTCTTTCTGCTCTGAGATATGGATGAGAAAACCATCTGCTGAAACTAGAGTTTTACTTCAGCAGACCCCAGCAAATACAAAATAGAATCTTCACAGGTCTAGCCTGAGAGACTACAAGAGCAGTGTGGCCCTTGAAGGATTCCCATGTGAAGTTCAGATTTTACTGGGTATATGCCTGCCCTGAGTATCGGGCTTTAAAGGCCAAGCTGTCATGTTGGTGGAGCCTGGTTCACTCGGGCAGCAGGATCATAGGAATCAAGAAGTGAACAAAGAGATGTTTATGGACTGAAACAGTTTCTGCCTCAAGTCATGGAGTGGCTGAAATCCAAGCTTTAACAAAAGCTGTAAGATTCAAAGCTAAGATTTAGCCTAATCTCAGCTGCTTTGCCACAAAGGTACTAGCTCCTAAATTTAGGTTATCCTTCATTATTAATACCAAAAATGGAGAAGGAAATGCTTTTTTGTTTTTTATTCATGTCCTGAGTACTGCATAAAGTGAATTATTTATTTTTGGGCCCCAGAGTTCTCTTGAGCAAAATTGAAAGGGCACATGGAATTGAACCATACTGGTATTTATAATGCCTCTTTCTAGTTTGTAATTTTCAGAGAATCTTGTGGGATTTGCAGGGTCATTAATTAGTTTTACGACCGTGGCCATCTATAACTGAACACACAGCAGAAATGGAATGCCTGAGCTAAGATAGAGAAAGCACCAAGTATGATATAGGGGGAAAAAGACAGGGGTCCAGTCCTCTCTCTCCTGTTAAAGGTCCCTGTGGTCTCAAACAGTTGCTTTCCTGCTCTGAGCTCTGTTTCTTCCTGTTTAAATAAGAACACTGAACCAGGTGCTCTCAAAAACCCCTTCTAGATCTATCATATTGTGTAGTCTAAAATACTCTGAGCAGTATACTTTGTGTCTATAAAGTTATTTTCTTTTCCTTTGTATTATCTTTAGATACCATATTGACTTTTTAAAATTTGTGATATGTAACATAAAATTTACCATTTGGGGCTGGGATTGTGGCTCAGTGGTAAAGTGCTCGCCTAGCACGTGTGAGGCCCTGGGTTCGATCCTCAGCACCACATAAAAGTAAAATAAAGATATTGTGTCCAACTTAAAAAAAAGAAGAATTAAAAAATTTACCACTAAGCTATTCCCCAGCCTTTTTTATTTTTATTTTTTATTTTTAAGACAGGGTCTCATTCAGTGGCTTAGGGCCTCTCTAAATTGATCCTCCTGCCTCAGCGTCCTGAGTCACTGGGATTACAGTCATGTGCCACCTGCCCAACTCATGTTAACCATTTTTAAGTATCTGCTTAGTGTCTAGAAGTTTATATACGTTGCTGTGCATCGATCACCACCATCACCTCTGGACCTTTTTCCTCTTTCCCAACTGAATCTCTGTACCCATTCACTATCTAGTCCCCCTTCTCTCCTGTCCCCAGCCCTGGCAGTCACATCCTACTTTCTGTCTCTATAAATTGACTACTTTAAGTATTTCATATAGGTGGAATCATACAGTATTTGTCTTTTTCTGTCTGGCTGGTTTTAATTTCTTCCCAGTTCTTCTACATGTGTCAAAAATTTCTTAAGGCCAAGTAATATTTCATTACATGTATATGCCATATTTTGACCATATTGACTTTTTAAACTCACCTAATTCAAAGCCATCCAAACAAAAAAAAATGTGTAAAGCAAATATAAAGATTTTTTTTAAAGTACAAGCACCACAGAGAGGGAAAAAGAAAGTCAGATTTATATTTAGCATAGCACTTGGAAAAATGAGAAAGTAGGATGGTTATTCTCAGGCACACTTCTTCTAGGTAAATCCCGAAAAGGTGGCTGGGTGTTTTTAAGTAATCCTTAAAAACAAAATGGAGCTGGGTACTATGGCACATGCCTATAATCCCAGAATCTTGGAAGGCTGAGACAGGAGAATTGCAAGTTCAAGGCCAGCCTTAGCAACTCAGGAAGGCCTTAAGACCCTGTCTCAAAATAAAAAAACAAAAAAAGCTGGGGATGTACCTCAGTGGTAAAGTACCCTTGGGTTCAATCCCTAGTACCAAAAAAGACCCAACCAAAAAAAAAAAAAAGTGGATTGATAAAATTTAATATCTGTTTAATAATAACAATTTTACATCATAGTGAAATTGAAGGGAAATTATTGAATCTGATAATGGATATAAATAAAAATTTAGGAGTGCATATATAGATTTCATGGGACATTTGTCGGAATTACAGAGTTAAGAATTACACATTTCACCTTGCTCAGTGGCACACACCTATGAACCCAGAGGCTCGAGAGACTGAAACAGGAGGATTGCAGATTCAAAGCCAGCCTCAGCACAAGCAAGGTGCAAAGCAACTCAGTGAGACCCTGTCTCTAAATAAAATACAAAATAGGGCTGGGGATGGGGCTCAATGTTCAAGTGCCCCAAGTTCAATCCCTGATATGACCCCCCCCAAAAAAAATTATACATTTCAATGTGTATATATTTTGCCTCAAAAAAATTGAGCAAGTGGTAGGGGGTGAATATAGCAGGATTTCTCAGCCTCTGCAATGACAATTTAGATATTTTTTTTTGTGG